AATTTTGGCATGACCTCCCCTCTTTTTTGAAGAAATTTTGAAGCTTGCTCGGGCAGCTGGAGGAGGAAGAAGACATATATATAGGGGTGGGACTTTAGTCCCGGTTGGTAGCACCAACCGGGGCTAAAGATCACCGGGATCTTTAGTCCCGGTTGGTATTACCAACCGGGACTAAAGTTAACATCTTTAGTCCCGGTTGGTGTTATCAACCGGGACTACAGATACCGGGAGGGCCTGACAGACCCTGACAGCATTCGAACCGGGACTAAAGATCATCTTTAGTCCCGGTTGGTAACACAACCCGGGACTAAAGATCAAATATGCCCGTTACCCTTGTGAACCGGGACTAAAGAACATCTTTAGCCCCGGTTTTTATTGCATCCGGGACTACTGTGGAAATCGGCCGACCGACGAAAGATGGTTTCTCCACCAGTGGACCCAGGAATTATTAGATTGCTGAATAATAAAAAGGACACCAAAAACAGCAGCTATGTATCGTCGGTATGAGTGTATACCACTGCGTGCCTCATGTCTGACCACAAGTTGATTGTGCGGTGCAACCAGGGGAAAACACAAAGCAACTCGACTCAACTTTATTTTATCTAACCGTGTTTACGATCTGCCTCCAAAGCGCTACACAACTTCTTTACGAATTTGACTCATTATAAGTTACTTTTACTCCAAGTTTACAAAAATACAAAGTAACATTTTTAGTATTAACTAAATATACTATCAAAATATATTTAATGTTAGATTTAATAAACTAATTCGGTGCTACAAAAGTCACTACATTTTTCTATAAACTTATTCAAACTTACGGGGAAAAAATATAATATAAAATAAATGGAGTAATATATTATAAGGACTACCTGTATACTTCCTCTATTTTAGGTTTTAAGATGTTTAACTTTGGTCAAAATTAAAATATTTCAAGTTTGACCAAATTTATAGAAAAGAATAGTACTATTTTTTATTAAAAACAGTTTGGCTTTGACCAAACTCAAAACATCTTGTAACCTAAAATGAAGGGAGTACTTGTCAAATAAATTTTCTCCCAAAATTTGATTATATAAATATAGTATAATTATAATGTAATTATATTGTTATTTGAATCTAACTACAATATAATATAACTTGTATACAACTTTCAAAAAACCCCGTGGTAACTCGCTATTTCTGTGAACCGGAGATCGTGGGATAAAATCCTCTCACCTATGCGCACGTTACATAAATCTTCAAACAAATCTAACGATTCAAAATTATATAAAAGTTCCATACAAGATAAAGTAGTTAGATAAAATTTACGATATAATTATACCTTTTGACTATCCGTATTTACATTCGATGATATTTTTGGAAGAAAATTGATTGATAATATATATATATATATATATATATATATATATATATATATAGCAAAATTGTGTATTATATTCATATGAAACTAACTCTTATCAGGAGTTTGCCACTAACTATTTGGGAGCTTGGTCTGTAATCGCACGCATACCTTCGTTCAAACTGCTACTAGACTGCTACAATGTTGGTCAAACTGATCAAGCGCCGCAGATTTGTTGGGCCATCATTATCTAATCAGGTCGCTTTTGCACTAACACTTCGTCAAAAAAAAAAAAGGCTTCACAAATAACCAATATATTATTTTTAGATAATAACCAATATATAAACAATATGTCAATTGACAAGGATTTCACACCAAGATTATAAGGGTTTTGTTCTTAAAAAAAAGAGCAAAAGGGTTTTCCATACCACTGAAAAGTAAAGACATGCTTGGTATCATAGGGATAGAAATTAATCTGAACTATTAATGTTATTTGATCGAATAGTTTAAATTTATTTATACTACCATCCTAGTATGCTACATTTTTCCACGATTGAAAAGAAGAGAAACAGGGGAATAGCAGAGTAGAACAGAGCATGAACAAGAATCTATTATATTATTAAAGGAATAGAAAAAAGAGCCTCCACGTTCGCTCTCATGGCCTAGAAATTCCCACATTAATCGGAGAAAAGAAAAAATCAGAGTTCATATAGAAATACAATTTAGAAATAGCTGAAATTCGGAATTAAAAAATAAGAAATATTAGAAGAGGAGACTAGAGTCCATATAGAAATACAATTTAGAAATAGCTGAAATTCGGAATTAGAAAATAAGGAATATTAGAAGAGGAGACTAGAGTCAATATAGAAATACAATTAGGAAATAATAGAAATTCGGAATTAAAAATAAGGAATATTAGAAGTAGAGTACAGAGTCCATATAGGAATTTAAAACTAACTAAAATTTGGAATAAACGTAGAGTTTAGAGTTCGTATAAAATATAATTTATAAATAACTAAAATTCGAAATTAAGAAAAACATGGGAAGGAGAGTTTAAAGTCAATATAGAAATACAATTTAGAAGTAACTGAAATTTGAAATTAAAAATTGAGTTTAGAGTCCACATAGAAATACAATTAGAAATAAAAAAATCATAATTAAAAAAAAATATTAAAAGATGAGTCTAGAGTCCATATAGGAATATATATAATTTACAAATAACTAAAATTTGATTTTAAAAATAATTAATAACTAACACGTATATAAAATATAATATGAATATTAATTAGTAGTTTCGTAAAGTTATTGCAAAATTTAAAATTATATGTTGTTATTTTAATATATTTGAATAATATAATGAGAAAATATATATGCTATTATATGAGAGAAAATATAATGATGCTAGCCGCGCAATCTGCGCGGACCACCATGCTAGTTAATAGGGAAATTCACGTGCGATTTGTGCTTCCGGAACAACAGCGAGGCTGGTAATGGCAGCACTAAGCTCATCCTCCGCTTCCACCCTACACCGATCTGCAGGCTGGTGGCACCGTTGGCGGCCTAAGCATCCCCTGAGGTACATGCCGCTGGTGGTGTCACGGCCTCACGTCGATGGCAACGGCGACGTAGTGACGTATATACTGGAGGAGTACCTTCCTGGCATTTCGCAGCTGAGCATGTAATATAACGTGGCGGCCGGTGCGCCGATTAAGTTTGGTGACCGGCCAGCAAGGCTAGAGCCTGCTCGACTAGGGCACGACAGCTAGGGCCTAGGGGTCGAACGAAGAGGGGTTTGGGGTGCTCACTGCTCACCGTGTGGCGGTCTGAAGCGCCAACACCTTGCGCCGTCGAGTGAATTGCAAAACTGCCAGCATCGTACCTCTATCTTTTGGTCCATATTACCTCGTCCCCTATGCTCAATTCAATGTTTCAAACAACGTGCATATGGTTTGTGCAATTGGCTACTCTTAGAGGTTGCCACTCATCGCTTTAACGAATTGAATTGCCATTTGTGCGGTACTGTTTGTTACAGTGTCAGTGAAGTCCATGATCCTCCCATAAATTGAAAGGTCGAATTTTATCAATAGACGGTACACAAGGAAATAATTGTGTAATGTTGGTCTGCAAATGGCAAACAACTTTGAACCCATCAATAGCGTGGCATAGGCGCACTACTATAAAAACTACTACAAAATATGAAACATTTGTTTGGGGGTTTTCTTATGGACGCGGTATAGAAGTCTATGTTTTTTCTTGTTGTATTTTTTTTTACCTTTTTTATAGAAGTAAATTTTTTACCCGGCCTTTACATCCAACCGGATATATGCAGCCTTTTTAAGTTAGGAACTTAGCCTGTCGAACATGGATCTTAGCCCTCAAATAATCCAATCTAAAATTCAGGACCTTGGAGTGTTACTTAGATCACTACAACAACTAGGCTACATGCCCTTTCACTTTTCTTGCTGTATTGAGGTTCTCTTTTGACATGAGATTAGTGTATGTCCATATAGGAAGTCTGAGATGCTGCTTGTTGCTCACCAACAAATCAACTGCACTTATATTGCTCAACTTGACACTAAAACGTAGGAGATTGTACGGTGACTTAATATATTGTGTAAACTACGTAGAAATCTAAGTAATAAAAGTTTCCGGATCGATGGAACGAGAGGGGCATATCTCTTCTAAAACTATGCAACGATAGGTGGAACGTGTTCCTAGCTTTTTCGGAACGATAATCCAGAACGGTGTACCCAATTTGAGGAACGTGTTTAGTGTTTCTAGTTTGACTCTCTGGATTGTGCTTCTTTTATTATACAAAGCTGACAGTGCGGTGACAGATGGCTCGAAGCGATGGCAAGACTAGTGGCTTCGGCACTGTGCTGCTGTGGACAGGAGGGAGAAAAGCGGGTGCGATGCGTGGCGCCCTCCTATTTGTCCATCCTCCCCTCCCGATGGCAGCGGCGGTGCAGCGTGCACTCAAACATGCACAACCTAGGCATTGTGTGATCTCTCTGTACATGCATGGAGTGCTATCATGAGCATTTGTGCCCAAGGCCCTCTAGTGCCTGACCTTATCATTCTTTTCACTACATAATATCCGACGCGTTGCTGCGGGATTATATAGAAACAACTTTTAATTGAAATTCAAGTGGTATGATAGATTTAGAAGGTGTATGTATGAATTGAAGTAAAATATGCAATAATAATGGTGATAAACTGTGATAGAGTTGGTGATGCATAATTTGAATACATGCATTGTCAGAAAAACAAAACATATCATATAAAAAATTGATCAGAAGATGTCTGGAATGGTAAGATAATATGAAATTTTGATGGCATTGTTGTCTAATTGACTGATAGATTAAATAGCGAGGCTCTAGATGGGTGGAGCAGGGATTAATGGCGCTCTTGAATTGGTTTGGAAGTGTAATTGAATTTCATCTAACGATTAATACTACAAAAACTCATCGATCCAATGATTGAAACTATTTTGATGATGCAGCTAAATGTGGTGCCTGCTAGTGGTTACACTTATATAGAAATAGAAAGTATAGATTAATCAGTCCACATCAGCTGGTAATAAAATTGTTGGAGCTAATGTAGAGTTATGTCAGCATGGAGGATGCATGGGAGAGGGCATGCACATAGAAACCAGTCAGGACAATTAATCAGGACATAACAAGCTTTTGAATCAGCATTACACCTTTGTACAGGACATTGAAAGTAGTCAAACCACTTGACAGCAACAGAGAAGCCTGCTTTGCTTCAAAAACTCAAATCATAAATTACGATCCGATCATGCCCTGTATACCAATTGAACATATTTATATTGATGTTGTGTTCAACATCTGGTTGGAAAATTTTCTTCTGAAAACACTCAGATCACGATTTGACTACGTGGTTTGTTGTAGAGAATCGTATGTCCATTGACTGATGGCTATTTTATTGAGCATTTTCAAAACTTGACTTCAACTGAGTTCCCGACATTCTAGGATGAGTCTCGGCCCCGATACCCACCCGCGCCGCCGCCCGTCTCCTGCCGCTCTCCACTCCCATCCTCGAGCGTTTCTCCTCTACCTTGGTGTCCCCCAGCCAACCTGCCAAGCTGTCCCAGGTTTTCCCCAGTTGGAAGAAGGAGAGTTTGTCGCCAATGGAAGCTCAGATCTGATCGATTCAATGGGGGCTCTCCTCCCTAAGCAATCCAAAGCTGATGCTGCTCAACCTGCTCGAGGGACAAGAATCCCCCCTTCTGCTGAAGCCTTTGCAGCAGATTTGGGTGCTCAGCGTCTGGTCTTTTCAAAATCAACTTCACAGTTGAAGCTGGGAGAAGCCACATCTTCTTCTCCAGTTCAAAATCTTTTGCCCAAGCCTACAGGTCAAGCTGCAAATCTAGACCTCTCAAGAATGGATCGCTCGCTTTACTCCACTGTACTGAGGAAAGATCCCCAGCCAGCTGCAATTTCGCATCGGCCGTCATTTCGAATCTCCCAGCCCCCAAGCAAGATCTTGCAAAGTCAAGCTCCTCGAGCGACTAACCAGTTGAGAGACGTTCAACCACCAGTTACATCTCGTCTACCGCTGCAGGCTCGCCTTAAACCCCCGGTGTTCTCCAGGTTGGGGGAGGAGAGGCGGGTTGAAAGAGTTACTGCACAGCGGCTCTCTGAGCAGAGCGCCTCCCAACCATCAACAGATTGGCATTTGGTAAAACCCAAGTACTGGTGGAGGAAATGCGAATCTCCAATTCCCCATGCCTTCAATCCCCGCAACAACCCCTCAGATGAGCATTCAAGAAGATTGAGGTTCCTCACCCATATGGAAGGTAAATGCTTCCATTGCCAAGTACAAAGCATAGGGTGCAAGACTGCAGAGATCCCCTCCGCTGTTGGTTCTGTCTAGGTATTGGTCATTTATCTTCTTCATGCAGAAAGAGGCTCTTTAAATACCAGGACCAGCATACCTCCCCCCCTACCAAAAAAGATTTCCCTCCTCTTCTTCCTACTCCAAGAACATCCCAGGTTCCCCCCTCTGTTCCCACCAGCCATCCAGCTTCGGCAATGGCCGAGGTCCCCAGTGACCTAGTCTCCAGGCCTGAGTTGAGCCACTGCATGATGTCTGCTACTGGAGAAGTTGAAAGGCTGCGCACCCTCTTCACTGCAAGATCAGTGGTGGCCTGGACTGGCAAGGGAGGGCGTGTTGAGCTCAGTACCTTTGCAGACGACATTCGCACTGCGTACCGCATCCACCGCAACGACATCCAAGTGACCAAGTTCCACCCGGAAGATTTCTTCATCACTTTCGCCAATCACAGTGATCATGAAGCAGTTCTGCAGCAGCCAAGACTGGTGACAAGAAGCGGACGTGAGTACTTCTTTCGGCCGTGGGACGAGAGAAGGAATGCGGAAGCAGTGGACATCCATTTCAGAGTGCGACTTTGCATTGAAGGCATTCCAATGCATGGAAGAACGGAGGAGGCTGTGGCCAAGCTCATTGGCCCTCGATGTTCAGTGCACTATGTAGAAGAATACTCCCGCCGTCGCAACAACAACAGCACTTTTGATGTGTGGATCTGGATTTCAGACCCAAGCTCCATCCCAAAGGCGTCAAGATTCACCATCACCCGCCATGATGCTGAAAGTGCCCCAGTTGACACCCCTTTCCCGGATTTGGAGCCAGAGCAGCCAGCTCCTTGGGCGAGAAAAAAGGGACTAACCTATCCTATGATCATACATGTTGATTCTGTGCAGGACTTGGTGGCTCGCTACTACCGTGGTTATCAGTGGCGCTATGGTGAGACTGATGATGCAGCAAGAAGCAGGATGGTCTCTAGGCCTTTGGAGCCTTACAGGCCCTTACCAGAACCTGACCGGCATTCAGATGATGAGGAAGATGATCATCAAGAGCAAAGATCAAGAAGGAGGCACAGAAGCAGATCGCTATGGGGGCGGTTTGGTGGCCGCTCCTCTAGCAGAAGCAGAGAGCCTGACCGTGGAGATAGGGGGAGATACAATGAAGAGAACAGAGGTCGTCAGCGGTCGTGTGATGTTGTTGTCCACAGAAGCTGCAGCCGCAATCTCTCCCGCTCGGCGGAACCGGGTGAGACGAGGCTGTGAAGGCAACTAATGGCGTCTGATCATGCTGCTGATCTGATTCCATCTGAAGGTGGCCACCCTCCTGCGAAGGTTGACACTCCTTGCAAGCCGCTCACTCCAAGCAGAAGAAGAAGCCTAGATGCGGATTCTGCGCCTTCTTTCTCTGTGTTCCCCCACATTATTTCTTCACCTGATTTAGCCCCCATCATGCAGGACCATGGTGTTGTCCTTGCACTCTTGGAGAAGCACCTAGACCCAATGGTCCATGAGGCAGAGATTGACAGCATGTACTCGCCTGACACTACGTTGCCACGTCCTGTTTCCCCTGTGTTTGTTCCTTCTGCAAGACAGGTGACACAGGCGACACCACGGAGAGGTGATCTACCAGTTGATGTCTTCCTTGCAGAGATGACAACTCCGTCACAGCAGCCGTTGCTCCCAGTGCCGGGCAACAAACAGCGCCGCCCTTGCCGCAACAAGGTGATCATCTCTTCACAGCGGCAAAGCGTGCGACTAGCAAACAAAGCTATAAGAAACTCTAAGCTTCATTTCATTGCCCAAGAAATTTGGTGTTCTTCATGATAACAAGAGGCTTGATGCTCACATTAAATCACTTTATTTGCAACAGTACAAGAAACCTCTTTCCCCTGATGCTGTCAAGACGATTGTGGCACTGGTAGAGAAAGGAGGAGGCAAATCCGTGCGCCTGCGTGGGGGGAAGAAATCGGCAACTGTTACGCCGGTTTGAGCAGCCCCCGTCCCGAAGATAGTCGCTGATCATGACCATGTTTTGGAGCAGAAGACTGAATGCCACTGCCCAGTACACGCCCTGCGGCTCATGGAAGCTGTCAGCACAACTAATGTTTCTCTGTGTTTCTGCCAAATGTTCTGCCTGTGTTTCAGAGAAAGTTGTCTATGTCTTCCCCCACCATACTTTTCTAGCTCTGTAAGAGATTGTGATGTCAGTTGCCATGTCTTTTGCTTATGTCACAGCAATCCTGTTTCATCCTAAATTGGAATGTTAGAGGGCTCAACAACCCAGCAAAGAGAGACAACATAAAACTTCTAGTTGATGATATGAAAGCTACAATTGTCTGTCTCCAAGAAACGAAAATAGAATATGTCTCAGATTCAATTGTGTCTCAAACCCTGGGGGGGGGGGGGGCGTTTTGTTGCAGAACATGCTTTCCTTCCAGCAGATGGAACTAGAGGTGGAATCCTGTTGGCTTGTGATGACAATTATTTCTGCCTCTCAAATATTATAATTAAGCCACATAGTTTATCGGCTACAGTAACAATGAAAGAGGAAGGTTTGGTTTGGTCAATTACTGTAGTGTATGGACCCCAGCTGGAAGAAGATAAGATCCTTTTCCTGAATGAATTGCAGGAATTGGAGAGCAGCATGCACCCTGCATGGTTGATCATACGGGACTTCAATTTAATTAACAAGGCTTCGGACAAGAACAATGATCGTTTAAATAGAAGAATGATGCAACGCTTCAAGGGTACGATTGACAGGATCGGAATCAGAGAACTGACTTTGTCTGGGAGATGTTTCACCTGGGCGCAAGAAGGGGCAAACCCAACTCAAACGAAAATAGATCGAGCTTTTTGTTCACCGGAGTGGGATACTCTTTTTTGTTCAGCTCACATGTCGGCCCTCTCCTCCTCTTGTTCTGACCATGCGCCACTCTTCGTGGTAGGATGCGAGCAAAGGGAACTCAATAGAAGCTTTCGGTTTGAATCTTACAGGCTTAAAATGCCAGATTTTTTAGAAGTAACTGCCAACTCTTGGAACAGGCCGATCAGAGCCACGAACCCCTTTGCAATTTTTCACCTTAAGCTATGCCGTCTTGCCAGAGATCTAAGAAGGTGGAGCAAAACTAACATTGGGGATCTTCGCCTCAGACTTGCAATTGCAAACGAAGTAATCTTTCAACTTGATGTTGCCCAAGAAAGTAGATCATTATCAGATGTTGAACAGTGGCTGTTAAAAGAGTTAAAAAGGAAAGTTCTCGGTCTTGCTTCCATGGAAAAAATAAGAATAAGACAGAGGTCAAGATTGACTTGGATTAAATGCGGAGATGTAAACTCTAAATACTTCCACCTCAAAGCAAACTCAAGGAAAAGGAAGAATTTCATCAATGCCCTTCAAACACCAACTGGAACAGCTGTAACGACTGACAAAAAAAGTCTGAACTCTTAAGATTTTTCAACCAAAGGTTGGGAACCCCCACTGCAAGAGAAAAGTGTCTAAATTGGACAAGATTACAATTGCCATCAGTAGATCTTTCAGACCTAGATGGTGATTTTGAGGAAGAAGAAGTCAAGGAAGCCGTTGCAAACTTGGCACCAAAGAAGGCGCCGGGACCTGATGGTTTTATCGGGGTTTTTTTCAAGCGTTCTTGGGAAATTATAAAGTCTGACCTGATGCAAGCAGTTTTACACTTTGGGGATCAGAACACTGATCGTCTACGGGACTTGAACTCGGCAAATATTTGCTTAATCCCAAAAAAGGAGGAAGCGCTTAGACTGGAGGATTTTCGCCCAATCAGTCTTATGCACAGTTTTGCAAAAATCGTCGCAAAAATCCTAGCAAGCAGGCTTGCACCGAGATTGAATGAACTGATTTCTCAGAATCAAAGTGCATTTATTCGAAAGAGGGCGATTCATGATAATTTCCTTTACGTCCAAAATTTGGTCAGATTGCTCCACAGAAAAAATAAGCCCTCACTTTTCATTAAAGTGGATATCTCAAAAGCCTTTGATACAGTCAATTGGGTTTATCTTCTAGAGACTTTGCAAAATTTTGGCTTTGGGCAAAGATGGCGGAATTGGATTGCAAATTTACTTGCAAATTCTTCTTCTAGAATTCTCCTGAATGGCAACCCAGGGGAACACATTTTCCATGCAAGAGGGCTACGGCAGGGAGATCCCCTCTCACCGATGCTATTTATAATCACAATGGAACCTTTGCATCACCTCATCAAGATGGCTGAGGAAGCCAACATCTTGTCCAATCTTTTCCAAAGGAACCGAAGATTTCGCTGCTCACTTTATGCTGATGATGTCGCCATCTTTGCAAAGCCAACATCGGAAGAATTGACAGCACTCAGCAGGATTCTTTCCTTCTTTGCTGAGATCAGCGGCCTACACACAAACATGAGCAAAACTGAAATTTTCCCAATTCGTTGCTCAGAAGTGGATCTAGATAATGTCTTGCTTTCTTTCCCCGGAAATAAAAAATCATTCCCATGCAAATATCTTGGCATACCTCTCCATATAAGAAAACTGAGGAAAGTAGACCTACAACCCCTTGTGGACAAAGTTGGATCACGCATTCCGGGATGGAAGGGCCGTTTTTTCACCTCGGCAGGCAGGGAGGTTCTTGTTAAATCTGCCTTGACGGCAACCCCCATTTATCATCTCTCAGTCCTTCCTCAGAACAAGTGGCTCTACAAGCGAATTGATCGTTTAAGAAGAGCTTTCCTCTGGAAAGGGGATGACCCTGATAATGTTGGTTCAAGGAGTTGCCTCCTAAATTGGAATGGTGTATGCAAGCCGAAAGACTTAGGAGGACTTGGGATTCTTAACCTAGAGAAATTTGCGAGAGCTTTGAGACTAAGATGGCTATGGTTTGAGTGGAAGGATGTTTCGAAGCCTTGGGTGAACATGGGCACTCCCTGCGACGACATAGACAAAGCTTTGTTCCAAGCAAGTACGATCATCCACATCGGAAATGGACAGAAGGCAAAATTTTGGACAGATAGTTGGTTAGAAGGATGTACGGTTAAAGAGCTCGCGCCTCTGATTTTCAGACTTGCAAAAAGAAGAACAAAATGTGTCAGCCTTGAACTACAAAATAATCACTGGATGTCAGGTTTGCACACAATCACCACAATCAAAGAGATTGATGAACTGGTACAACTTGGGGGAAAGCTGCAGAATGTCGCTTTATTACATGATATCCCAGATGATATCACTTGGAAATGGAATGAAAATGGACAATATTCAACGAAAAGCGCTTATCTTACTCAATTCAAGGGGGAAATAACACATGCAAATTTTTTACCCCTTTGGAAAACGAATGCAGAACCGAAGCAACTTCTTTGGATGGTTGGTCCTACAACAAAGAATACTCACTGCTGAAAATTTGCTAAAGAGACACTGGCCTGTGACTGGATTTGCAACCTTTGTAGAAGTGCTTTTGAAGACACAAACCATTTGGCAAAGGACTGCCCTTTCACAGCTTCAGTATGGAGCAAAATTTGCCAGTGGCAGGGACACAACAGACCTCCACAACTCCCATCTTCAGATAACCTAATGGAATGGTGGGAAAAAATCTGCAATCTCTCTCCGGTCGTAAGCAGAAAAAATATCGTGCGAGACTTGCTAGTAACTTGGTGGAATGTTTGGTTAGAACGAAACCGTAGAGTTTTTCAGCAACATTCCAAAACTGAAGATCAAGCAGCTTTTCTCATAAAAGAAAACTTAGCGCATATTGCCCTAGCCTCTCATTCCTTTTAAGGCCTATGAACTTTCTTTCAGTTGCTTTCCCTAAGCTGGAGAATATGTAATTTAATTCGCCTCTAAACTTGTATGACTCTCTCCTTCTAATATATTCGGCAAGTCTTTTGCCGCTTTTCGTTTCAAAAAAAAAAAACTTGACTTCACCAATGTAGGTTTAGGACATATCAGGAATGATATAAGATGTGGATTCGCTGGTAGCGAGCAAGGGATACAAATGTGTGTTTAGTTGCAACCATGATCATAAAAAAAAACGTATGATTCATGTCACAACATTCGTATTACTGTGTATTGTTCATTTGTGCTTACTTTTGATTGATTTGCCGTTTTACTGGGCATCCAGGTATCTAGAAGTTTGTCCTGCTGGACATCATGCAGAACCAAATAGACATTGAGCATTCTCAGCTTGTGATACTACTTTGGAGAATACAAAAATCAGACAATGAGGAGACTGATGAAGCGGAATAGCTGCTTATGAAGCACGCAATCGGATTAGTGCCTTGATCTTGCAGTTTAGTTGCAACTGCTGGAAGCATCACTGGCAATGCATAATGGGAACTGAGCGATATAATTGCCATATTACTTGTATATAGCCATCATAGGCAAACATGCTGATAATGTAGCATATATATACTATAAGCTCGATAACCTGAGGGTTTCTGAAGGATTTCTATGTGCAAGGGTTTAGATGAATACTTGAGTCATATTACACGTGTGGCTCACTAATGATCAGCGCCAGACACCTGGTGGTGGACTTGGATGGTTTCGTAGCCTACAAATTTGTAATGTAACTAGGAAGATAGTCCGCGCATTCGCGCGGGCATGTATTGTACAGAGGATTAAACTTTTCGGTTTAGCCAATTTGATCGGGTATAACCAAAATTTCCGAAATTTTGGTCCGAAATTTTGAACAAAATTTAGTTGAATTTGAACAAATATTACCAAAATTCATGAAAAATAAAAAATTTCGGCAGAAATAATATCGTATCGGAGGGGTCTGAAATGACCGAAATTTCCAACCCCGATTGTACATTGCGTTTGAAATATATATATAAACAAAATATAAATCGGCTGACACCTCCTATGTTTAAAAGTACTTTTGTTATTTGAATAAGACACATCAGGTGAAACCTCGCTGTTCTTCGGTATTTTGCTTTGATAATTTTTCCAAGATGTTTATTAGGTTTAAAAATATATCATATTTAATACATATGTATAAACAATTATCTATGATCTCTTTATCATATTTAAGTTTGTTTAGAAAACATGTCTAACAAATCAAGTGTAAATTAGAAGTATGGTGTTTGGCCCTTTTGTTAATAGAATGTTTACTTGCTTTTTTTTTACAAATTTTAAAGAACTATATTGTTAAAAAATATGTTTTATTTGTACCATCAAGTAGTTCTCATTCTAGTAGGTTTAAGTTGATGCAAGTTGTTACATACTTACATATAAATTAATAAAGACATATCATATGCCTCGCTTCCTTCTGATCTGTGCGATCTATACAATCTTTTTCAAAAGAATATACCTAGTTAACATGATTCCAAAATTTTAAATTTAATAGTAAA